TTCTACTGCACCACAGCATGGCCACAATATACCTTAGACAACAACTCAAAATGGCTTCCACAGGGCACTTTTTGATTTTAATATCCTCACTGATCTTGACAGTTTTTGCTGTCGAACCATAAATGGTCTGAGGTCCCATATGTGCAGGCCTTCTGGAACTGCACTCTCGTCCCTCTCTGTGCCTCCAATGTTCTCCTTCCCAGATCCTTCTCGCTCAAACACCCAATTCCTCTGGATCCCCTCCCCATACCCTAACCCTTCTCTCTGAGTCCACCAAATTCCTTGCCCCTCCTCCCCAACGACCACAATCACCCCCCATCACCCTACCCGGTTTCCCCTCCCCTCTCCCACCCCAGAGCCTTCCCTGCCCAAGCAGCCCCTCCTTGCCTTGCCTCCCTCTCCCTCTGCTCCACCCACTCCCTGCCCTTCCAATGTCCACAATAGCCTCCCACACCCACTCACACCGCCCTTCCCCACCCTCTCTCCTTTGTCCTCTCAGAGAGGTGGCTGGAGTGGAAGGACCGGTCGGAGTCCATGTTCCTTTCTCCCTCCAGGACCTATCATAGATAGAAAAGCACCTGGGATCCTTCTCCGCCAACCCCTCTGCTTATGCCAAAGAGTTCTGCTACCTATCTCAGGCCTATGATTTAACTTGGCATGACCTATTCATCATTATGGCCTCCACCCTCACCCCTGAGGAATGAGAATGCATCAAAGCGGCAGCCTGACACTATGCTGATCACACTCACTTGGCTGACCCCACAGTCCCAGTTGGGGAAGACACAAATCCGACCACGACCCTAACTGGGACTACCAACCCGAAGCTCCAGGACACTGCCAGAGAGACCTAATGATTCAATGCCTCCTACAGGGCATGAATACGGTGTCCAACAAAATTGTAAATTTTGACAAACTCCGCAAAATAACCCAAGGGGCTGACAAAAATCCGGCCCTTTTTCTTAACTGCCTCCAGGAGGCCCTCGCCCAGTATACCCGATTAGACCCCACCTCCCCCGCTGAGGCAGCAATCCTGGCTGGACATTTTATATCTCAGTCCACACCAGATATTAGAAAAACTAAAAAAGGCCGAAGACGGTTCTCAAACCCCTATACAGGACTTGATGAAAATGACATATTAAAGTTTTTAATGCCCGAGAAGAAGCAGCAGAGTCAACCCACCAAAAACACCTCCAACAAAAGGTGGCCCTCCAAACCCAAGCCTTGGTAGCAGCCCTGCGGCCAGCTGGATTACAGCCCCGAGTCAAAGGAGGAACCCGAAACCTCCCATCATCTCCTCCGGGAGCCTGCTTCAGATGTGGCAAGGAAGGCCACTGGGCTCGCCAGTGCCCCAACCCGAGACCTCCAACTAAGCCCTGCCCAAAATGCAAACAGGTGGGTCACTGGGGATCGGATTGTCCTGGACAGGGCTTACCCCCCTATGGCTCCTCATGGAGGGTCAGCCCCACCAGCTATCCAGATCCCTGACTTTCTTGGACTGGCAGAAGATTGACAATACCTTGACTTGGGGACCCCAATCACCCTCGCTGAGCCCAGGGTCATGCTCCAGGTAGCGGGTAAGTCCATCTCCTTCCTCTTGGACATGGATGCTACTTATTCTGTGCTGCCTGCCCACTTGGGTTTAACAGTTCCCTCATCAGTCTCTGTTATGGGAATTGACGGCTCTCCCTTCTGCCCATATAAAACTCTGCCCCTTCCTTGCTCTGCTGGAGGTATAATATTTGCATATTCTTTCCTTATCATCCCATCTTGCCCTGCCCCACTTCTAGGTCAAGATATTCTAACAAAACTTGGTGCCTCCATAACCATCCTTCCCCACCCGCTAGAATCTCTAGCCTCCCACTCACTCCTTCTGGCCTCTGCTGGCCATCTTGCCCCTCCTTCTCCTCCTGGATGTGCTCCACCCAAACTTCCCATTCTGGTCAGCCTCATTGTCTGGGACACCTCAATCCCGATTGTGGCTACACACCACCCACACATCTGCGTTTCCCTTAAGGACCCTAACCAATACCCCTGCAGACCCCAATTCCCTATTTCAGAAATTCATTGCAAAGACATAAAACCAATAATTATCAAACTCTTAGGTCAAGGTCTCCTTATACCTATAAACTCCCCATGTAACATGCCCATCCTTCCAATAAGAAAGCCCTCCAGATCCTATAGATTAGTCCAAGATCTGCACATTATAAGTGAGGCTATTATCCCCATCCACCCTTGGGTCCCAAATCCTTATACCATCCTCTACAACATCCCTCCTGATACTTCTCATATTTCTGTCCTTGACTTCAAGGACTCCTTTTTTACTATCCCCCTCCATTTGGACTCCTATTTCCTCTTTGCCTTTACCTGGAAAGACCCGGATACTCACTTCACCCAACAACTAACTTGGACAGTTCTTCCCCAAGGCTTCCATGATAGCCCCCACCTCTTTGCTCAGGCTCTAGCCCATGATCTGGTCATGTGCAACACAAAACTCAGTACACTTCTACAATATGTTGATGACCTCCTTCTGTGCTCCCCCTCTCAGCAGGATTCTGAAATGGGAACAACCAACCTCCTTAACTTTCTAGCCTCTAAGGGATACCAGGTCTCCCCAGTCAAGGCGCAACTCTGCTTACAAGCTGTTACTTTCCTGGGTTTCTTTCTCACCTCCACCTCAAAAGCACTTACCATAGACCGGGTTCAAATTTTAAGGGACCTCCCTCCTCCTAATGATGCCCAAGAAATTTTGTCCTTCTTGGGTTTCATTGTTTTTTTTAGACACTGGATTCCTAATTTTGCCTCATTGGCCCACCCACTGTACCAGGCAGCCAAGGAGACTCCCACTGGTCCACTCTCCTTCCATGATCCATTGCTGCTTTTCTTCTCTCAAGGACACCCTCCTCAGGCCCTCCTAAACCCTTCCAAACCATACCACCTATTTACAGATGAAACTTCTAGAATAGCCAAAGGGGTCCTTACTCTACTATCAGGCCCTATTCATCGACCAATTGCTTACCTCTCTAGGCAGGTAGATCCCACTGTCAGGGGATGGTAGCCATGCCTCTGAGCTCTCCCGGTGGTGGCCACCATCACCAGGGAAGCTCTTAAGCTATGCCAGCTGCAACTGATAACTGTCTACTCCCCACATTGACTTGCTGACCTTTTCACTCATTCCTCTCTTTCTCTTATTGGATCTTTCTACAGACGTTCCATCTCCTATTCATCAATAATCCTGATATAACTCTCACCACCTGCTCCCTGCGCAACTCCTGCTACGCTGCTTCCCACCACTCTGCCAATAGCCTCCAACCCAACTCATTCCTGTCCTAAATCAGTAGAGAGTCTCATGACTCCCAGGCAGCGTCTTACTGACTCTTCCTTACTTTCTCCTGATGTCACTATGTTTGTTGACAGGAGCTCCATCCTGGATGACCAGGGAGGCTGCTGAGCCACCTACACTGTAGTCACCATTGATTCTCCTCGGGTATTGACAGCAACTTGCCTCCCTATGGGAACAACTTCTCAAAAAGCCAGACTCATGGCACTAACTCAGGTGCTCACCATTGCCCAAGATAAAACAGCTAATATATATACTGACTCTAAATATGCTTCCCTTATAACACACTCTCATGCAGCCATCTGGAAGGAGAGGGGCTTCTTGACCACACGGGGTACTCCAGTGGTCAATGGACCCCTCATTGCTAAACTGTTATGAGCTCTAGAACTTCCAAGGGAGGTCACCATCATCCACTGCAGGGGGCACCAGACCTCCAATGACCTGGTGGCATGAGGAAACTCCTTTGCGGACCTGACGGTCCGAAAGACTGCAGAGCAGTCAATTCTCCCACCTATTCTTTTCCTCTCTCCTAGCTTTACCCCAAACTATGAGCCAGAAGAACAAGCCACTCAAAGAAGGGGGAATTACATCCCCCAATGGGTGGGTCTTCAAAGATAACCATCTGATCCTCCCCTTGGGCCAGGTAACAGAGGTCATCACTGCCATCCACAATTCACTACACATAATTCCCAAAGCCCTTTTCTCTTTCCTGGAACCCTTGTTCCACCCTAGGGGCCTCCGATTCACCATCCATTGGGTCCAGAAGGCTTGCTCTGTTGGCTCCCAAGCAAACTCCTGGGGCGGACTCCATCTCCGCCAGTCCCTCCACCAACTCCACAGCAGCCAGACTGGTGAAGATTGGCAGATTGACTTCACTCATATGCCCAAACACAAAAAATTCCGATATCTTCTCACTTTTGTGGATACTTTCACAGGGTGGATCGAAGCCATTCCCACAGCCACAGAAGGGGCTGCAATTGGGGCCGACACTCTTGTCCATCACATCATGCCCCATTTTGGTCTTCCATAAAGTCTTCAGTCAGACAATGGCCCTGCCTTCATCTCCAAGGTCACTCAACTGGTTTGTGAGCACCTGGCCATCACTTGGAGGCTCCACACCCCATACCACCCCCAATCCTCGGGTAAGGTTGAACAGGCCCATGGCCCGATCAAGCAGCAGTTCACCAAGTTGTCCCTGGAGCTCTGGCTCTCCTGGGTTGACCTGCTGCCCCTGGCCCTCACTTGCCTCCGAGTGGCCACTAGGCAGCCGACAGGCTTAAGCTCCTTTCCCACACTTTCCCATCAAACACACCTCCTTTAACAGGATATCTACCTTACCTCACTCTCCTCAGCTCCTTGCTCTGAGCCCACACAGATTGCTACCTACCCCAGTCAGATGCTGTTCTGCCAGACCATGGCCCCCTGTCTCCAGGCTACCGCGTCCTCCTTAAGCAGCTACATCTGAAGCCCTTCCAACCCAGATGGATGGGACCATACACTGTCATCCTCACCACTCCCTTGGCGACGAAGCTCCTGGGACACCCTGCTTGGTACTATCTCACCCGCCTTAAGAAGCTCCCACCCACCATTTCTACCAAAACTTGGCAAATTACAAAGGTAAGGCCTATTTCCCTTCAGATCTCCCGGGCTGGGAACACTCTTAATGCTGCTCTTGGCTCTTCCTCCAACCCTATCTGAACCATCTTCCTCTTATCGCTGGAGATTCAGGATCCAAGAAACATATATGAAGGACAATAAGGTGGTCACCTGCCTCACCAACGCTGGGGACTGCCACCCCAGGGGTTGTAGCAGACTGCTCGCCCTCCAGTTACAGCACTCCTTTAGCAGCACACATGGAACAAGAACTATAAATCTTGGTTATTTCTGTTTTACATTTCATCAAACTGAACCATACTGCCAGGAGAGGGCCAAATGGGTTGAGGAATATGGAGGATGTCCATATTGGTCCTGCAGAATTCATTACATTAAATTCAATACTGGATCTCACTCAGTCAACTCACTGGAAGCTTCCTATGGTGGCTCCCAGGTATGCCTTTACATTCCTGACCCCTGGGATAATAGATGGGCAACCGGGGTGACAGCCAAGGGATATCAACCTGGGTACTACACACATCCAACAAACTTGAAAATCTGGAGGCTATATGAACAAGTGGTCCCCTAGATTCTCAATATACTAAAGGACCAGGCAAAAGCCATTAGGGAGGCAGAAAACAGTCTTCAAAACAAAACCCAGAGAGACCCTATTTCCTGGCTGTCCCTGGTGCAGGAAGTTGCCAACTTGTTAAATAGGTCAGGTCTGACCAATGTAACTAAATGTTTCTTTTGTGCCATGTTGTCCAGGCCCCCACTCATAGCTGTTCCCTTACCTGGGCCATTCCCATCAAATGGGTCAGCCTCCACATCTCTACCTGCCCCCATTGTTGGAGCCCTCTTATATAGAGATCCTCTATCCCCACAGTTGCCCTTCTGCTACTCTGATTCTGGCTGAATGTGTAACTCCACTAACTCTACCATAGCGGACTTCCTCTGGGCCCCTCCAGGAGGCTTCTTTTGGTGTAATGGCACGCTTTCAAAAAACCTCACCCAGCGGGCCCTGACTTCCCAGCCCTCACCTCAACATAAGACTAGGAGGGCTGTCTTCCTGCCTGTCCTTGTGGGCATATCTTTGGCAGCCTCAGTAGCGGTCACTGGTTTCAGCTCCGGTACCCTGGCTCACTCAATGATCCAGACCCAAAGACACTCTCAACAGGTCCTGGCAGGTGTTGAGGACTCAGCAACATCCCTTGCCTCTCTTCAAAGACAGATAACTTCCATAGCTCAGGTAACCCTACAGAACTGCTATGCCTTGGACCTTCTCACGGCAGATAAAGGGGGAACTTGCTTCTTTCTTTGGGAAGAATGCTGCTACTATATTAATGAGTCAGGCCTGGTGGAAACTTGTGTCCAGTCTCTTCACAAGCTCAGCGATGAGATGCACCACTACAATACCGCCTCAAATGACACCCCTGGCTGGTGGAATTCACCCCTGTTTAACATTCTCACCCCACTGATTGGTCCCCTAGTAATTATTTGTCTCCTTCTACTTTTGGCACCCTTTCTCTTTCGATTTTTCCAGGACCGCCTATGCCAGTTAACTCGGGTAACCTTCAACCAAATAATGCTCCAGGTTCATGACTACCAGCCCCTCCCCATAGGGTCTGGCTGCACCGGTCAAATGACCCAAGACATCCCTAGCCCCTAACTTAGCCCCCTTTCAGCAGGAAGTAGCCAGAACTGATTCTGCACCCTTATACCAAAGAGTCTGGGATGTTTGGCCAGTGGGCAGCCACCGCATGGTGATCAGGGATTTTCCACTCCACCTTCCCTCTTCTTCTTCCCCCTCTGGTTGCCGTGGCAACTCTGCCGAGGCTGACAACTCCCACCGCAACTGGCAACAACAGCCAGCGGGCAATCACCCTCCCCTTTCCTCCTCCCCCTATCACTGCTAGGGCAACCCCTGCTGGCGGGCAATAGGTTTTGACCTATCCTATAGGTCCATATTACCCTGAGCCCCTCCTTCACTAGGCCTCAACTTATCCCAGCGTTCCACAATACCCTAAGCTCTTGACTTCACCCAGATTATAAAAACTGTGCTGTCATTTCTCGGGTGTGACTTCTCCGGCCCTGTTCTTTGGGGACGGTGAACCTCACCCGAGTGCATGCTCCCAATAAAGCCTGCTTGCTTTGTCATTTGACTATGATTTGGCCTTTCCATCTACTTCGACCTAACAATAGGAACCATCTGAGAATAGGTTCTGCCATTCAAAGGTTGTGATTGTTAGGCTGAGAGTGCCTACAGGCAATCCTGAGGCCTACAGGCACTCCTGCTGCCTGAGGAGGTTGTGAGATTCAGGACTTTGGGCATCTTTCTTTACTGCCCCCCCATATTTCCCACCCACACATGCATAGGCAGGGCTCTGAAATCTTCCAGAGAGTTTCAGGAGTGACCAGAGGTGCTGAGAGTCTCTGTTATCATAACTTCACCATCTGCTGCTTGCTTCCTTCATGATCACTTGCATCTGCATCTCCTCATTCCCATAGTTCCTTTTTTCTTAATTATGTCAGCTTCATTGTCCTTACATGTCTTTATTCTGATTTGCGGTCACCTTCTGTTGCTTCTTCATCTTCTTGAAACCTGATCGTTTATAAGCGCCACTAGCCAGTGACAGCCATTTCTGTTTCTTTCAGGAGAGTTGGCAGCTGTCTTTAAGCTGTATCCAGAACTGTCTTTATTCTTTCAGCTATTCTTTAATGCTAGAGTCTTGCTTGTCTGCTTCTGTGATTGGCACTCTTCCAGAGTTTCAGCAGGTTTCAGAGGATTGTTTGGCTTGCCAAGATCTGTAGAAGAAGAAGGATGTCACATTACTCTTAATGGTCTACAACCATGGAGCCTCAGAATATTGGGAAACATTTTGTTCCTAGTGGCTTTTTCTGAATTGCATGACGTTTGGAAATATTTCTCAAGACAGCACAGTGTTCACTACAGTAGCCAGGACAGACAAGTATTAATCCTTACATAGGACAAGTATTTGTATAGTTTACTTTTTGTGGAAATTTCCCAGATGCTCCATTAATCACAGAGATCCCTTGTTTGCCCAGGAGTTTCATGTGCCACCACCTCTACTTCAGAACTTCAAAATTAAGCACCTTGTTTGAACTGCTTGGAATAACAGAGTATAGATTTATCCCATTAAACCTTTCAGGCATGCTTTGAAAGTGAATTGCTAATATTTCATACTTCTGTAATGCTCAACTGTTGTCAGTTACTGGGATGAGCTCACCATAAGCTCAAGACATTAGATAATTTTCTGGTTTAAGTCCTTTTGTGAAGTAGATGACTGTGCAAGTTATTCTTAGCTTTTGTCTCTGCAAGGCCAGCATTGAAGAGAAGAAGCACAAGATCCCAGGGGTGCTCTGATCAGACCTTAAGGCACCCTCTCTGCTGCAAGAATTAATAGCTTCTTGGGATGCAAACCCTTGATGATGGAGATCTTTAAAAAGAAATAATCAACTTTTTTCTTATGCAAGAAATTCTTCAAGGAAAAAATAAACTGTGATATGATAGCATTCATGAAGAAAGCAAAAAGAATGCCTATATTTCTAGCTGCTTGAGAAACTACAATTGGAAGGATAGTAATTTGAAGCCAGTGTTAGACCTATGGTTATTTAGATAAATGTTAATTAGTACTCAAATATACTGGCATTTTCCAGAGTCATTTTGTTCTTCTTCATTGTGTTGATTTCTGCCAGTACAATTTGGTTTTTAAGAAATATCATTCGTGCCTGCATTTCTCAATGGAATTGTATTGTGGAATACTTTTAAGTTAATTTTAAGCAAATTGGTCCTTATTCAATTTGTTCATATGATTTGATCGGTGATTTAGGACAGTGCTCAGCCTTGGACTCCTGTTCCACTGCTGAGATAAGAACATTCTGTTTATTCTGTGTTATGAGTTTTTCCAGGGATGATGGCACTGTGTGAGCACTATTCAGTTTCCTCTAATCTTGTTACATAATATTTTTTCTCAGTTTCAGAAACTTTTCTGAGAAACATGTGTTGACTGTTACACTACTAAATATTCCAAACAAGTCCTCTCCTTTCTTCCAGAGTTCTTTATCTGCACTGCTTTATTCTCTGTACTGTTGCCTTGTGCCTCCCATGGTTTTGCTAGATCTTTCATCTCCCATCTCACTGAACTGAGCAGACTTTGACTCATTTCCTTTTCCATGTGTAATAGTCTGGAAACTGTCATGACAGGGACCTTCAATATTGGGGATTTTATACTTCATTGTCTCCATTAAAAATTAAAATCTATTATTTTAATTTTTTCTTTCATTTATTTTTGTAGGTTTTGGTTTCGGTCATTTAAGGTAGGAATGTAACTTAAAACAAGAAGCCAAGAAACTAAGAAAGGCTTAGCATGTTATTGAAAAACTTAAGATAAAGTTAAGAGAAAATGAAAAGCAATTTAATGAAGCAGATGGAGCAAACTGACAAAAGCTATGTTAGGAGGTCACTCCAATCAGAACTGAGATTTCCACAATGTGAAGCCTCTCTTAGCAAGCTCCATGCAAATACTATAAAACAGATAACATAATTATTGTTAAAAATCACACCTCTATCTTTATTTCACAAACATGTTTTATTGTTGTGCTGGTTGGTGGTACATTTCAGCATTTAAAAAGTTCTTACAATGCATCAAATATATCAGATTTAAATTCACCACCTTCACCCCAGTTTGGGGAAGTGATGTCACCCCCTCATTATGTTTATATGAAGGTTTGTGTTGTAAGCTACAACCTCCACTACTAGGCAAGGATGAAAAGTATGACCATATTTTTTTTATTTTATGCATATGTGCATACAATGTTTGGGCCATTTCTCCTGCCTTTTCTCTGCCCCCTCTCTTACCCTCCTCCCCACCCCCTTCCTTACCCCCCAACCCCTCACTACCAGGCAGAAATTATTTTGCCCTTATCTTTAATTTTGTTGAAGAGAGAGTATAAGCAGTAATAGGAAGGACCAAGGGTTTTTGCTAGTTGAGATAAGGATAGCTATACAGGGAGTTGACTCGCATTGCTTTCTTGTACATGTGTATTACCTTCTAAGTTAATTCTTCTCAAACTAATCTTTTCTCTAGTTCCTGGTCCCCTTCTCCTATTGGCCTCAGTTGCTTTAAAGTATCTGCATTAGTTTCTCTGCGTTGAGGGTAACAAATGCTATCTAGTTTTTTGGGTGTCTTACCTATCCTCATACCTCCCTTGTGTGCTCTCGCTTTATCATGTGATCAAAGTCCAATCCCCTTGTTCTGTTTGCCCTTGACCTAATGTCTGTATATGAGGGAGAACATACGATTTTTGGTCTTTTGGGCCAGGCTAACCTTACTCAGAATAATATTCTCCAGTTCCATCCAATTACCTGTGAATGATAACATTTCATTCTTCTTCATGGCTTCATAAAATTCCATTGTGTATAAATACCACATTTTCTTAATCCATTCATCAGTAGTAGGGAATCTTGGCTATTTCCATAACTTGGCTATTATGAATAGTGCTGCAATAAACATGGGTGTGCAGGTGCCTCTGGAGTAACCTGAGTCAAATTCTTTTGGGTATATTCCC